GATTTACACCCTCGGAAACCCTGTACAGGGTCGCTATGGGTCGGAACCGACTCGACGGCACTTAACAACAACAACAACAACAATATGTATGAAGTATGGGAGACGAAGTCTGGCCTTCCTGACTTTGAAGGAGCATTCTGGTTGCACTTCTTCCAAACACAGGTTTGTTTTGGAATGTCCGTGGTACTTTCAGTGTTCTCCTCCAACACCATAACAAATGCATCAATTCTTCTACGGTTTTCCTTATTCATTGTCCAACTTTCACATGCATATGAAGTTACTGAAAATACCATGTTTTGGGTCAGGCGCAACTTAATCCTCAAACTGACATTTTTGTTTTTCAACACTTTAAAGAGGCCTTGTGCAGTAGATTTGCTTAATGTAATACATCATTTGATTTCTCTATGACAGTCTCTAACCTTCCAAATGAAAGAACCACCATTCCAGTCAAAGAATAGACGTCAACCAGTGGGGTTTCAGAGACAGACAAATGGGGCCTGGGAGCTGACTGACTGGTTCACCTATTATAGATGGCAACAACACACTTGCAGCAGTCACAAAAGATCAAGGGACTTCCACCAGAAGAGAGTTCTGCCTGCCACTCCTGAGGGTGCTAGTTCGCCACCAGATGGAGCAACTCCCTCACAGGTTTCACAATCATTGGGGATCACTAAACAGATGAAGGAGTTTTCCCAGCAGTAATGCCTTTCTCACATCTCTCCTACCAGGAGTGTTCCAGGCTCTCAGTACAGAGAACAAGGACTTTATTCATCTCAACATAAACGAGGTATGTCCAAGTCAACCTTCTTTTCAAGTGTCTACATAGGGCAGGCATAGAGTAGACACTTCATGATTTTTGCCAAATGCATGGATTTTATGGAAGACTCATTTCTAGCTGTAGGGTTTATAGACAATTATGATGATAGCTAATGCTTCCAAGGTGCTATACATTTAGTAATCATTGCCAGACTCCTAGGAGTCTTTATTGTCCCCATTTTACAGAGGAGGAACCTGAGGCATGATGGTGGTGGTGTACCGTGGAGTTGATTCTGACTCACAGTATCCCTGTATAGGGTTTCTGAGGCTGCAAATCTTTATGGGAGCAGAAAGCCTCATCTTTCTCCCATGGAACAGCTGGTAGTTTCGAAATGCTGACCTTGAGGTTAGCAGCCTGACTCATAAACACTATGCTCATTGTTATTGTTAAGTACCATCAAGTTGATTCCGACCCATAGCAACCCTGTATAGGGTTTCTGAGGAGCAGCTGTTGAGCTTGAGCCTCTGACCTTGCAGTTCAAATGGCTTTGCTGTCTGGTGCATTAACCCACAGCACCACACCAGGACTCCAGAGCTCATTGTTGTTGTTGTTGTTAGGTGCCATTGAGTCGACTCATAGCAACCCTATGTACAACAGAATGAAACACTGCCCAGTCCTGGGCCAACCTCACAGTTGTTGCCAGGCTTGAGCTCATTGATGATGCCACTTTGCCAATCCATCTCGCTGTGGGTCTCCCTCTTTTTCTCTGACCCTCCACCTTACCAAACATGATCTCCTTCTCCAGAGACTGCTCACTCCTGACAAATGTCCAAAGTATGAGAGATGAAGTTTGGCCATCATGGCCTCCAAGGAGCACTCTGGCTGCACTTCTTCAAACACAGATCTGTTGGTTCTTTTGGCAGCCTGTGGCACTTTCAATATTCTCCTCCAACACCATAATCCAAAAGCATCAATTCTTCTAGGGTCTTCCTTATTCACTGTCAAGCTTTCGCATGCATATGAGGTTATTGAAAATACCATAGCTTGGGTCAGGCGCACCTTCGTCCTCAAGCTGGTATCTTTGCTCTTCAACACTTTAAAAAGGTCTTGTACAGCAGATTTGCAATACATCATTTGATTTCCTGATTGCTGCTTCCATGAGTGTTGATGGTTGATCCAAGAAGAATGAAGTCCTTGACAACTTCTGTCTTTTCTCTGTTGATAAGAATGTTTATTGGTCCAGTGGTGAGGATTTTTGTTTTCTTTACATTGAGATGCAATCCATACCAAAGGCTCTCTTTGATCTTCATCAGTAAATATTTTAGTCTTCTTCACTTTCAGCAAGCAAGGTTGTATCATCTGCATATCACAGGTTGTTGTGAGTCTTCCTCCAATCCTGATGTCACATTTTTATTCATATAACCCAGCTTCTCGGATAATTTGCTCAACATACGGGTTGAATAAGTATGGTAAAAGAATACAGCCTTGTTGCACACCTTTCCTAATTTTAAAACATTCAGTGTTCCCATGTTCTGTTCAGACAACTGCCTCTTGGTCCAGGTACAGATTCCTCATGAGCACAATTAAGTGTTCTGGAATACTCATACTTCGCAATGTTGTCCAGAGCTTGTCATGCACACAATTGAAAGCCTTTGTGTAGTCAATAAAGCACAGGTAAATATCTTTCTGATATTCTCTGCTTTCAGCCAAGATCCATCAAACATCAGCAATGATAGCCCTCGTTCCACATCCTCTTCTGAATCCAGCTTAAACCTCTGGAAGTTCTCTGTCAATGTATGCTTGCAAACTTTGCTGTGTTACCTTTAGTAAAACTTTACTCTCATGGGCTATGAAAGATATTATCCGATGATTTCCACATTCCCTTAGGTCACCTCTCTTTGGAATGGCCACAGATACGGATCTCTTCCAATCAGTTGGCCAGATAGTTGTCTTCCAAATTTCTTGGCATAGATGAGTGAGTGCCTCCAGTGCTGCCTCACTTTTCTTGAAAGATTTCCATTTTTATTCCATCAATTCCTGGAGCATTGTTCTTTGCCAATTCCTTCAATGCACCTTGGATGGCTTCCTTCGATATCATTGGCTCTTGATCATATGCTACCTCTTGAAATGGTTGAACATCAACAATTTCCTTTTGGTCTAGTGACTCTGTGTATTCCTTCCATCTTCTCTTGATGCTTTCTGCATCATTCAGTAATTTGCCCAGAGAATCCTTCAATAACAAAAGTCGAGGCTTGAATATTTACTTCAGCATCCCCCAGCTTGAGAAATACCAAGTGTGTTCTTCCTTTTTGGTTTTCTAACTCCAGATCTTTGCACATTTTGTTGTAAAAAGGTTCTTATCCTGTCCCTTTATAGTTAACACTCTTGCACAGTAGGCAAAACGTTTAAATCCTCTCTACTATTCCCTTCACTTGAGTCCTGGTGTGGCACTGTGGGTTAATGCGCTGGACTGCAAAGCCGTTTGAACTGCAAGGTCAGCGGTTCAGGCTCACAGCCACTTCTCGGAAACCCTATGCAGTCACTATGGGTCAGAACCGACCCGATGGCACTTAACAACAACAATCCCTTCACCAGTAGTCCTGGTGCTATAGGATAATGTGCTGGACTGCAGGGTCAGTTTAAGCTGCAAGGTCGGCAGTTCAAACCCACTAGCCACTCCTCAGAAACCCTATACAGGGCCGCTATGAGTCGGAACTGATTCAAAGGCATTTGATAACAACAACAACATCCTTTCCCCTTAAACTGTGAGTTAGCCTCAACTTTGCCTACATGTTAGAGTCAGCTGGGAAGATTTGTAAATATCAATTAAGTCAGAATCTCTTTGGGTGGGGACCAGTATGATTCATGTTTTAAATTCTCTGGTGATTCTCACAGGCAACCAGGTCTGAAAGCCACTGTTTTAGCTCCCATCCTCCTCTCAACCTAGCAAACAACCCCACCCTGTCTACTGCCTAAATTGGTCTCTTCTGAAGTTACTATGGTAAATGGGTCTTTGTGTATTTCCCACCTGAAGTATTCCCCTAGCCTTGGCATATGACATACCTGAAGAAGCGGGGTAGAATCCCTGAGTGGTACAGTTAACGCCTTCTGCTATGAACTGAGAGGCTGACAGCTTAAATTCAATTAAAGGCACCTCAGTAAAAAGGTTTGACAATCTACTTGTGAAAAAGTAGTCACTGAAAACCCTACGGACTATCAGCTCGACTCTTGATACACATGGGGCTCTGTGTGTTGGAATTAACTTGATGGCAACTGGGTGGATTTGTTTGTTGGTTTGTAAGGAGGGAGGTCATAGAAGAGACCAAAAACGCATCCCATTCAATCACTCAATCTTGTTCTTTCCCCGAGTGTCCGGAGAGTGATAGGAAGGCTAATGGGGAGGAGAGGAGGCAGAGGTTGGAATGACTCTTGTCATCGTACCTAGAGCTTTGAGGCTTTAATATCCATAAGCACAGAGATGTCTTTCCAAGACTAGCTTTATTACACATTTTGCCACGATTCCCATGTAAAGATAGCCCAAGACTGAACCTACTGCCTTTTCCTGCAGCCCCTCCACTGTCCTTAAGGTGAGGGGCCCCTCATAAAAGAGGAAAGGAGCTTTATACTGCCCTGCCCAAGGTTCCACATAGAGGCCATACTGCTTCAACAAAAAGAAGTCACATTTTAACATCTGTGCTTGACTTGACATACTCAGAAAGGATACAGGAATTTAATTGATCTATTTATCAGGATCCTGGTATGGTGCTGTAGATTAATGCACCAGATTGCAAAGTCATTTGAACTGCAAGGTTGGTGGTTCAGGTGGACCAGCTGCTCCTCGGAAACTCTACACAGGGTCACTATGGGTCGGAACCGACTCGACGGCACTTAATAACAACAACAACATCTACCAGAAAAGTACAGTGGCTCTGTACAATAAACACTAAACTGTACCCCACAAGATGTATAGTTCAAGCCCACCAGCTGCTTCCATAAGATTTACAGCCTCAGAAACTCTATACAGGGTCACTATAGGTCAGAACTGACTCAACTACACTAATCAACAACAAACATCTATTTATCTACTTAACTATCAATATATTTAAAGATTCTTGTTCAGGCAGATGTCCAGCTTGGCTGCAATGATCAGATTGCAGAATTCCCTCCGGTGACGTGAACAAAATGGAGTCCTTCGCGAGGCTGGCAGGGAAGTGGAGAGGAAACCCCCCTCCCTGTATCTTATATCATCCTCTCTTTTTATTTTCAGTTCATCAACCTAACCATGAACATTTGATGATGCAGCCCAGCCATGAATTTCAGAGCTTCTCCAGGTTTACAGCCATCGTGCCCAGAGACCTTTTCCCTCCCCTTCCTCATACCCCGATCTTGGAAGAATGAAATATCTTCGTTCTTGGTCCTGTGATTTTGTACTATGTCTTTGTAAAATCACTGATCTGCAATAGCTGATGTTACCACAGGCCTTCTATCCACGTGCAGGCAACTCTATTATTGTTTCTCTCTGCCTCTAGTTTCCCACCTCCACCTACTAAACATTATTCAGAGCTCTCCTGCACAGAATCCTGGTTTTAGGATACCTTCAACCTCTGTAGTTAAACATCCTTTACAGAGTAATGTTTTTATGAATGTCGCCAAAGATGAAAGGCCAAAGTGTTTTCTCTTATAACTAAGAATTCTGTTATGCTTACTCACCAGAGAATTCTGGATGCTTACTGACATGGGTGGAGCAACAGGAAAATCCTGACTTCCTCCTTCAGGAGCTGATAACGAATTAATTCTCTACCCAGGCTTTAGGTCAGAAAACCCAAATGCAATATTGTTCTTCTCTGGAAGTCCAAATTCTGGTCAGATTTGATCTCATTTGTCTCTTCTTTGGTGAGGGAGAAGAGACGAGAAGGCTCACTAAGATCCCCCTGACACTGAATAGGGAAAATTCTTGGAATTGAAATAATAGGAAGTATCATGAGAAGATGGAGCTCTGCTAGGGTAGTGGTTACGAATTGGACTACAAA